AAATTATATTAAATTATAAAAATATAATAGATAATATTATAATTTTCAGTTAAATTAAATATTTATTAAATTTAAAATAAGAACAAAACTGTTAACATAGTTTACGGATATCCGATAAACAAGTTTTTAAAATTTTTGTTTTTATTTAATTATTTAATTTATTTAATTTATTTTAATATTTTAATATAATTTAATATATTTAAATATATTAAATCAAATTTTATATTATTATTATTATTATTTTGTTTTAATTATTTTTTTTTATTTTTTTAATATAATTATATAATATTTAAATTTTAAATTAAATTAGATTATTGAGAGAAAAAAATAGAAAAATATTTATTAAAGTTAAAAATAAAATTTTTAAAAAAAGTAGAGACACTGTATTAAATGTTAAAAGGTTAAAAATAAAATTTTTGGAGATATTGATAAAATTTTGGAAGTGGTGGATGATCACGTAAAAAAGACTAAAGCCAAACATGTTACAAACATATTACACAAAAACGAAGGCTTAATTACCTACTTAGTTCCCATGTTAGGAGGTAATTTTCTGTTTAGTACCCAGATTTAAAAATGTAGGTATTTGGTACCTATGTTTTGAAATTTGTATCAATTCAATCCTATCCGGTTAACGGCGTTATAATTAATGCGAGAAATTAAGGACGTTAATGATAGCCTGGGTGGAATTGATACAAATTTCAAAACATAGGTACCAAATGCCTACATTTTTAAAACTGGGTACTAAACAGAAAATTACCTCCTAACATGAGGACTAAGTAGGTAATTAAGCCCAAAAACGAACTACTGCTATTTATACATGGGTGTTTCTCCTGCACCATCATTTTTTCCTTCACCCCCTAAATTCTAAAATTTCATTTTTACCCTTCATTAAAATATATTAAAAACCTTAATTTAGAGGCGTGTACATTTTTTTCTTCCTTCTTCCTCTCTCTCGGCTCCCTCTGTACCTCCATCCATCTCGTCTCAACAGCTTTTTCATCCTCTCAAGTTGTGAGCTTTTGTTGCTTATTCCACTCACCATTTCAATTTCATGGATTTGACGCGAAGCTCTAATTGTATTTGTATTTGTGCTGCAACTCCCATTGAATGGATAATGAAATTGAATCTGCCCTTTATCTTCTTATCCGCCCTAACCAATAGCAATATGTTGGGACCCCTCTTCTTGCCAAATGCCACCACTATGAATTGAAAATTATTCTGCATATTCTTGTGGGGTTCGGCCTCTAACTTTAGTTGTCTCGAGCTCTCATTGTGGATTGGCATGGAGAACTTATTGGCTTCAAATTGCTTTGGTTTCTCTAAAAAAAAATCCTATAAGTGGCGGGGATAGATACGAATGACGAAATAATGAAGAATGGATGGTCATGAATGATAAAGGCAGGGGTATCCTGCTTCTGGATTCATCACTACAAAAATAATTGTTTAATCATTTCATAAGATATTTTAAAATCTGAAAATATATTCCAAAACACTGAAAAACTATAAAAAATTACATTCTAATTGAGGATTTTAAAAAGTATTTTTTATTCAAAATAAATAAGTAAAATATTTTTAGATTCGAAAATATCTTTTAAAATATTTTACTGAACCTCTAATTCAATATATATATATATATATATATATATATATATATATATATATATATATATATATTCGAATTCGAAAATACTTTTGTGATCATTCAATCTAAAAAATATTAAAATATATAAATATATAAAATTAAATTGTATTAATGATTTTACTTTATCATTTGATATTTTAAATATTTAAATAAATTTATTGACAAGCAGAAAAGGAATTGAAAGCCTCTTGTTTCAAAAAGCGAATAATTAAAGTCCTTTTCTCATTTTCAGCATATACTAAAAATATTCTGTTGTAACATGATATTTAATGTGTGTTTTTCTTTTTCTTCTTGCACTCTCAATATTTCTTGGCGCTTCTCCAAATTTTCAACGTAACTATTTTACTCTGTAAAAATAACTTCCAAATTACCATTTTTGGAATTTTTCTAGAACAATTTTTCCATGATATAATTTTCCGAATAAAATTTTCAAAACAAAAGTCCAAAAATAAAATTTTTAGATGGAGATTTTCGAAATGCAATGTGGTAAGATTTCTGGAACATATATAAAAGGATTATGTGAAAAGATAACCAACATAAAGATATACGGGTTCACCACCTTAAGTAGAGATCGAGGGTAGGGTTTCTAAAGTTTGCACCAAATCTAAAGATAGAAGTTCACAATCTTAAGAGATAAAGGATAGTTTTGTAATGGGAGGATTTATCAAGTTTGTCAGAAAACTTGTGAAGGGAGGGTTTTCCCAAGTTTGTTAAGAAAACTTGTATATTGTGATACCATGGAATACATTTGAGATGAATTCGCGTACGTAGACAAGTGGTGTCAAGTCATTTATCTACTGCACTGAATGTAAAAGCCAAAAGAAATAACTTAACAAGTTAATTACAAGAAGAATTCTGCATAATTGATTCAGAAAGGTCAAGCGTCACAGCTTAACAATGCAAGCGATTAAATATTCGAATGCAAATAAAAGACTTCTTAGTAGATTATCAGTGAGTTTATTAATAGGATGGATGAACTATGTTAAGTTGAAACTATACCGACACTTGATCAGTGTCCATCTAAGCTATGATAATTGAACAAATAATTCGTATTTAAGCTATGATCAATCAATTGGAAAAGCGTTCAAAAGCCCTGTCTTGAGACAGTAATCTAAAGCAACAGCAACAGAAACAAAAATTAAGAGATTCTCACTCACATAAATTGTTCCGTCTTGGGCATGTGATAAGAAGCTTTGAAAGTTTGGTTCAAGGAGTGGTCCACCACTTAGGGTTCCGAGACCTGCATCATGAGTTTGTTTCAGTAATACCAATATTAGGTTTATTTAGACTCAAAGTATTCAACTCAAGACCTCAAAAGAAAAAAAAAGGACAAGATGATATTTTATCTAAAATGATGCAGTGACAAAATTTGAATCCATTTAAAATGTGAGCATGAGTTTGTTTCAGTAATACCAAAATTAGCTTTATTTAGACTCAAAGTATTCAACTCAAGACCTCAAAAGAAAAAAAAGGACAAGATGATATTTTATCTAAAATGATGCAGTGACAAAATTTGAATCCATTTAAAATGTAAGCATGGTAAACCTTTAACAACACCAAAAGCTGCTGCAACCCCAGTTTTAAGTTGAACATCATCCAAGTTTCTCCTTATAGTGTAACGAAAAGTCACTCCAAACAATGCACAACTAATGAAGTTGATTGTCAAAGGAAGAAGCAGCTGAGTTGTGTCGGTGACTTGAGTGAAACATATGGGGAGACCTGAAACGGTACCAACAAGGGCAGAAATTGATGCTGTTTTTATTGACTCCCATCTCTCTTCATCTCGATCAGTTTCTTCACTTTTCATCCCCATGGATGTACCGCCACCTTCAGGGCCTCCCATATTTACCAACAGAGACTGCTCTGCTTTCTCCACCAGGGCTTTTGCCTCTGATATGTCTCTTTGACATTCTTCAATCTTAAACTCACTCAATTTTTGTAAGTAACGACTAAAGTAAGAATCAAAATTAAAAGAAATCAAGTCAAAAACATCTCATGAACTACGTAATACTTTTTAATCACAAGTAAATAGTACTTTTGCTATAAAATAACTCATTGATAAGTACCAATATCAGTTATTGAAGAATTATTAAACAAATTGTGAGGCAAAATATTTCTGTAAAGTATACATAGGCTGGCTAAAATAAGATAAACATGTATGAAAATGACTTTTTACAGGAGTCATTTCTCACTCATCATGAACATTATGAGCTCCTAGCTACGCCATTCAATTTAATCAATACTTCCACACCTTCCAATGCACTGTAAATTATGTTTGTAGTCGTCATTCTTGAGAAAATTCATTTATGTTGGTTCCTTTTTTAGAAAAACATCTATTGATCATTTTATAACTACACTAAATGAACTTTAAAGTACTATGTTCATTGGTAAAAGTAATTAATTTTTCTTATAATTAGTTCCAGTAGATAGTAACATTTGTTCTAAGCTAAAAGAGATGAAATATCTATAGAGAGGAGATGTAGATAAACGCAATCCTGGTTTCAACCACAAGAATTAGGACATATTTTTAATATTAAATTGGTCATGAGTCTACAGATATTAGTAAAATCCAGAGATTAATCGTATCTTTTAGTCTGAGATTTTGATATCTAAGGAAGAAAAGCTCAACCATTACCTCGAGAACTTCGCCTTCCAGTTGGTTGACGTAATCCTTCAACTGCTTGACAGCTAATTCTTGTTTTTGGATCAATTCAAGTTCTCTCTTAGCCATCTCAACCCGCTGCGACGCCTTCTCTAAACCATCTAGCAAAATCTTGTTCTCTTCTCTGCTCAATAGTTCTTGAACTTGCTTGTCAACCAACCCATACAGTGGGTCCTTCACATCGTCACTTCCCTTTTCATCTGAGCTCCTGCAGAGGCATTTGAACGATGGAACTGATCTAAAAGACTTGATGAACAAAGGAAAAGGAACTTGAACGGAGTTCACAATATTAGTGCAGGGATTCATAGCGTTCGTCAGTGAATTCCAACTTCTCTTATTATCTATGCTTCTATATCCCGGCCCATTATGTGGTGGCTGTGAAGAAGAATCTGATACATAAAACAGTTTAAATTGTAATATCATCTCATAAAATACCCTTTACATTTGTCTAACTTTTAATAACAATCATGTAAAAAAAACAAAAAAAAAAAATCTAGAAAATTAAGATTACTTTTCATTAAATTAAAAGTTAAGAGGTTGAAGATAATAGGTGTTCACTTACGCAAAATCTGGCAGCGAGGAGTTCGACTATCAGTACCACAGCATCGACCCCGAGTGATGTCAGGCAAAGAGAAGGTGGAGGAGAAACGAAACAAGTTGGGCATAACAACCACAGAAGAAAGGAAGCTGAGAGGAGAACGAGAAAATTTGGATTAAATTAAAAAATTATTTTGAACTTTTCAGATAATGCATGGGATAGTGGTAGCAAATGGGGCCGGGCAGTAGAAACCCTTCTAAAGGCCCAATTCTTCTGAAGCACTATCTTATTCAATGAAAAGTTATTTAAAATTATACTTTTTATAAAAATGATTTAATTGTCTTTGTTAATATAGTATTAAAAATTAAAAATATAGTATATTAGTAAATAAAGAGATATATTGTGAATTTTTTTGTTATTATATTGGTAATTTTAATTACTAAGTCGATAGTTATATTTTTAAAATGTGACCACTATGTTAGAAAAAAATTAATTTTTTGTTTGCAAGAAAACATGAAGCCGGAAGTATAAGCACTAATTCGATCTGCATTGTGGTATTTTAGTTCATTGTGTTCCTTAGATTGTCATATTTTTTTTAGGACAGGGTGATTATATATTTTCTTACTGGTTTTGTTTCTTATTTATTAGTTGTTCAGTCTATGAGAAGGTAGAAAGCTAGTGGAGAACAACTTACAACTCTAAGTCAGTTTATGGTAAAATGGAATTAAATTTTGGATTCAGTTTTATTTGCCATATGCACGTAAAATGAATGCTTACTATAGGTTCTGCATTTTCCAATTAATTTCTTAATACATTTTTGTCAATGCATTTGCACTATCATGTTTATTTTTCTAGTTCTAATGTTTTGTATCCAATTTAAATTGTATGCAATGAAAAATTGAATGTTGGCTTCTAAAGGGCTTTTCCTCGTATTATTGTAGCTCTTATCTTCACATTTTCTTTGTTATCTAGCATAACCATGATCTATGAGTCGTAGTCTTTGGCTTCTGAGATGTCTATATGATGTTATTGAAATTTTTTCAAGAACTACAGTCTGTATATAGTGTTTTCATGTCACATTTGTAATTCATGGTGTTTCAAATTTTGGTTTGAATTCCTCAAATGAACCTATTCTATATTTTTATAAATTTGATGTGGATTGTGCTTGTATTCAGGTAGCTGACGAACTTGTAGCTGAACTTGCTTATCCAAGCAAATGTGCTTCAACTCCTAATCAGGTTTTTCCTTTTGTATAAATTCTTTTAGACCGAGTGTAAAGATAAATATTATGGACTTGATGTTTTCATAACATTTGACAGCAACAATATGACGAGAAAAAAAATCCATCAAAGGGTGTATGACGCTTTGAATGTTCTAGGTTTAATGTCACTTTAGGTCCTTATTTTCGATCCAGAATCTTAAATAGGTCCCCTTATTTTTTGGAGTCTCAATTGAGTCCTTATTTTTGTAAAATTGAATCACATAAAGACTTTCCGTCAAATTGATCACCGTTAAGGAGGGTGTGACGTAACATGCTGACAATGTAATTTTTTATTACGTGGCATTAAAAACGTGACTGAATTGTACTTTTTTAATTTTTGAATTAAAAAATGAAGTGTACAGAGTGGAAATATAATTTAAGGACAAAATTGGAAAATCAAATTAAATTGGAAAATCTTCAACCGACCCGCTCCCATGCTTCAGCAGTTCGGTGTCCTCCTTCTTCTTCACTTCTCGGCCTCGCTCGGTAGCCTCACTACCTTCAGTCATTCGGTTCCCTTCTTCTTCTCCTTCACCGATCGGCCTCTTCCTACATTCTGTCGTTCGGTTGACTAGTAATAATATTCTATAACAGGCTGCCGCCAAACCTTAATTTCCTAACCTAGCCAATACCGCCGTCAACCACGTTGTGCCGCCACCATCATCCTCGTCGGACCACAAGCCGTTGTCGCCAACCTCCATGGTCGCCGCACATTCATCTTCATCACTTGCAAAGCCAGAAATCAGAAAATCCCAATTGCCATGTAATCCTAAATCGTAGATCCCTTTCTTCTTCCTTGCAAGCTTCGCTACAACCACCAGTTAGCAACATCATCTTCTCCATCATCGCATCAGAAACATGCATCAAATCCAAGCTAGAAAACACAGAGAAACCCAAGCCGCTGCGACAAACTCCATCATTAATCGAACTCGAAATTTCCTTTGCGAGAGACAGCCAGTCAACACGAGAACCTGCTCCACCGCGATTCGCACTTCCACCATCGATCTCCCCTGCGAGATTCAAGTTCGCACTACCTAATCGCGTCTTCTACACAAAACCGTGAAACAACCTTGCTTTATCTTCTCTGAATCACGCTTCCAAGAGCTACCACGAGACATTCTCAATTAGCGCCCCCATGTTCTATCGCGGTGCATGAAGTTTTCCCCCTTCCCTCTAATCTGAAACCTTAATTTTGGGTGGGGAAGGGCGGCACAGGTGATAGCTGTCAAATTAATTTTATTTGATTTTCCAATTTTGTCCTTACTTAAATTATATTTCCACTATGTACACCTCATTTTTTAATTCAAAAATTAAAAAAATAAAATTCAGTCATGTTTTTAATGTCATGTAATAAAAATTACACTGTCAGCATGTCACGTCACTTCCTCCTTAATGGTGTTTGATCAATTTGACAGAAAGCCTTTATTTGATTCAATTTTACAAAAATAAAGACTCAATTGAGACGTCGAAAAAGAAAGGAACCTATTTAAGATTCTGGACGAAAATAAAGACCTAAAGAGACATTAAACCAATGTTCCATTTGCAATGGATATTATTTCTAAGGATAACAAGGACATACAATAGATGGGTCTTCCTCGCGCAAGTCTAAGCGATATTGAAGATCTAAAGGTTTGTAAACAGTATTCAATTGTTTTATTTTTGATACATGATTTACCGTGATGCTCTGTTATTCTAAATAACACAGAAGAAAAATTATAATTTTAATTCATAATCAGCTCAACAGACAGAACGTCTTGGGCTAAGGAATATAATTGAGAAGAAAGCATCCTATTTTCAAGAGCTTGAGGATCAAGTAAGGACTGCTATCAATAGTGGATTTAGTCTGGGTTTGAACTCCTGTGCCTAGTTTACGTTTTTAAATTTGTAACTTTTTTGTAAGAAGGCCCTATGGATTTTTTTTCTTAATGTTTGATTTCTGTTTGCTAACTTTTGTATTAATTTATGAAGTACATAGGTCTTCAGAAACTTATAGAACGAAATGAGTAAATATATAGCTCCGGGAATGCTCCTAATGGAGGTGTATCTTTAGCATTCATTCTAGTGCAGTTATGCTATGATGTACTGTCATTGGTTATTTTGTCCATTACAAATTGTTTCTAATTTTTCCCCTTTGGATCTTTGATTTGTTAGATAATGCCTATGCTTATATCTCCTTGGTCTTAAGTCTGATATAACTGGTCAGAGGAGTGAGACTTTCTAAGAAAGTCTTTATATAGCGCAACATATTGTTGTGTGGGGTAGTTTTTGAGTTGTGCATAGTTGACTGAAATTATTGTCCTACGGGAAGGGTACATTGTACCTTGTAAGCAAATACTATGATTTCTCTATTTCTAACTCACCGTGAGAGAAATAACACGAGGAATACTCAGAAAAGACTGGTGCATGAACTTGTTTCCTGGGTTTTTAATCGAGGAATGTAACAATGGTATAAAGGAATGCTTACCACTAAAATATCTGTGCTTTAGAGGGAGGTGTTCCAATACGAAGAAACTTCCACTTAAGGAGGAGATTGTTAAGATTCAAAGCGAGTTAAAAGTCCCACGATGGATGAAAATAACTAAAATGAACAATAAATAAATGAAATGATTTATAAACTCATTGTTTTAATGTTTTAAATTGTAAATGATGTCTTAGTCTCTTGTATGAGTTTGTTCATAACTTATTGATCTCCTAAAAAAACTCGGGATAATCTAACTTAGCTACTGGTGAAGGATTTTTCAAGATTATTCTGTTGCTGGCTTTTCTTTGTCAATAGGTTAATATATATGCTATTAATGTATATGCTCAAATAACTGGAGTTGTTAATGTAGTTCGATTTGCTATGGATAGAGAACGACAATCTATGAATTGAGAGTAATTCCACATTGGTGGTTAAAGCTTTTTCTAACTCATTGTGCCTTGACAATTACGTAAACCATTGGAGTAACACTTTGAGTAGGATAACAAGTATGAATTTTCACGTATCACATCTCCACAAAGAAGGAAATTCTTCTCCGGACAAACTTGCTAACCATGGTGTTAATAACCAATGTAATGGGCGGGGAACTTTATTCCAGATTTCATTAGCTACGAATTTTATAGGAATAAGTTTCATCCATCATTTTATAGGTTTACTAACTGAGTAGGTTTTGGTCTTAGTACCTCACCATCTTACATTTCTTTTCTCTATTTCTTTTGTCATTTTGGTATGCTAGAAATGATTGATATAACTTAGGATGCCAATCTAGAAATGATTGATAACTTATGATGCCAATATAGTGATTATTTGCATACCTATCTTCCATTAAAAGAAGTCTTCACCACCACAATTATTTCACCAAGATCATACTAAATTTGATAAAATCCTTTCTACTTACTAGTGGACGTGGCGAGAATTCCCCACCCCTTTTTCTTCATTTCCCTCGGTTCTCACGGTATCTGTAGTCTAACAAAGACCGTAGGTTATCTTCATACAATCTGACACTGACAGTAGAAACTACCTATCACCACTTCAAGAATATGCTGGATAATGCAAGCCATTTCATTCGGATATATCAATTACAGTGCGTACATCCTCTTGTATTCACTGTTTAAAATCTCTTGGTCTGATGCATGAGACATGGAGAATGATCGACTCTCGGCCCTCAACTTTGTCTCCTCCATCCTATGCAAAATTACACAATAGCACATGGAGCCAATTGTAGAGAGCATTATCAAGCTTCCAATCACTGTAGCATATATTGCAAGCCATCTGGAGTGTGATCCCACCACCACGTATGTAAGAGAAATGAAGGCAATGGAAATGAAAAGGCAAGCCATCCACATGAGCTTGTTAATGACAAAAACAAGCTGCTTTTTTGCCTTTTGCTCAATAACAACTACGGAAGTTTGAACCACTACAACTGCCAGAGAGATGAACAATGCCAGGCTGTCAAACACAAAAAATATTAGGAAAGCTGCATTGTTTGCTATATTTGCTTGTCCAAGAGAAAATCCATCTGTTTTATTTTCAACATATTGACCCGGGACTGTGAAGATGGCTGCAAAAGCAACTGTAGCAATAAGAACGGCAACAACAGTTGCAGAGTTTATTGCATTGTTCAGGCCACTGATGTGTAGCTTTTTCAGCTTCTTTGCAATTTTCTGAACCCTCATGCCAGTCTGACGTGTCTGTTGGAGTTGGGATTGTACATCGTGCTTTATGTCACTGACAGTCTGCTTGAGTTGTTTTGAAGCATTTGGAGGTTTCCCTTGGTCAGTGGAATTAGCAGCCCCAGCATCCCTCAATATGGAGACAAGTTCAGGACTTCCAAATTTTTCTGCAACATCAAGAGGAGTTTCTCCAGCCTTATTTGTTGAATTGATGTTGATACCCTCCATTGATAACAAGCAGCGAACATTCTACAATAAATAATGACTAGTTTAGAATAGACATTGAAAGCCAACTGCTTTTCATTTCTAGGAATACGCTTTGTCTTTCCAATAATAAAACAGAGGTAGGATTGAAAATTTAGCATGGAATCATGCTGCCTATGCATAAGTATAAATTTATCCTACATATTTTTCCTTTGAGTTTACATTCATTCCTTAACCTTCAGTTGCATGTATGCACGCACGCAATGCAAAACTGCCTCAGTTAAATTCAATGATCCTAGATCAGGAAGGCAAAACAAGAAAACCAATAATCTTAACAAAATCATATGGCTGTCTTTTGGCCTGGGTGATACAAGACAAAGGTGGTCAATTATTCACAGGGTTGATGGGAGACTACTAAAAATGGAGATACTTCACGATACTGTAGCAAAGGTACTTCAATGTTTAAGTAACAGTGAACAGACGTGTTAAAATATGTCTACCGTCAAAACAAGCAGATTAAGAATGTGGCTAATAACAAATCACGAATGAATGAATAAAACGAGAAAAAATATAGTAATTCTATTGTCTATGATACATAAGAATAGGAAGAAGAAAACAAGGCATAACATTTGTTAAGTTGAAATTTGTATTAGTCATGCAAAGGGTGGTTATTTATTTGAGTTTGGATAACCAAACTGGAACTAATTTGTCCAATAGCTGAAAACAAAGACTACGAGTTGAAGAAACTAATCAGCATCATTTGGAATAGGAGACCAGACTGGTACTTGATATACAGATGTTAACCAGTAGATGAGTTAGAATAACTTCTAGTCGGTGTTATTTTTCTTTTCTTAATTTGATGGCTCGTTAGTTGTTATCTGAGCCTGTGTGTAACTTAGTTAATGATCCTGTAGCAGGCTTTCGCTTCAAGGTATGAATGAAATTGAGTAATGATTGTCACAAACCAATTAAGTTGCAACTTTCACAGCAGTGGTGTCGAAAGTTTCACTCGTTTGTATGACAGTTGGCGAATTGGGAAACAAACTAATGTTCTATTTTCTACATGTGTAAATATGGTGCTTTTGGGTAATATTAGTCTGCTTTCAGAATAGGTTATAATTAAAATACTTAAGAAAAAACTTTTGACTGAACTGCTTGAGTGCAAAATATGTAAATCCAACCTTCAAACCAAAAGCAAATTATTGTTATTCAGAAAAATACTCAAACTTGAGTTCTCGCTTTTTATACAGTTCACAAGCTTTATCATCTAATACCAGTTTCAAATGGCCACTTGGAAATTGAAGATATTGGAGACATGTTCAGAGGCTTCATGAGAAATTATCTAAATAAGATCAGCTCAAAGTAAGTGAAAAAGTATTGGGGGAAACTATCCTAATATCTAGAGAAATTAAGCAATCTGTCAGAAGTAGAAAACAACAAAAGGCAAATAAAACCTTCCATGGCTGAAGGCCAGAATCCAGTAACCTCCAATAAAAATGAGATTATGGGACATCTTCAGAATTGGACTAATCCTGGTGGCATTCATACTTACACATGAAAGAACTTCCGAAGGGGAACAAGCCCACGGAATGGCTGGCTCCATTCATGAAGCAATCCTTTCAATGTAGGGAACACCAGTATATCAAGAAGGCCTCTAACATTCTTTCACATGGAAGGGAGGCATATACAAATGTTATAAAAGGGGGAAACTGCACGGTTATTGGGTACCAAAAGGAGTTCCACAAGTTGGATAATAGGGTGGTAGCCTGGTAGGATAGTCAAAAAAAGCTTTAATTAAGGCCTTGTTGAGCATTCACAAGAAATAGACCAAGAAAAATTACATGTTTAAGTACATACCATGCAGAAAACTATATGACTAACAAAGATTAAGGTTAGTATTTTAGGCATAGTGGGAGGCCAAAGGAGATAAAAAGAACTAAATGCACTAAAATTGATGTTAAGCTGAAAAAATACGATGCATTACCAACTTACAGCCAAAGTCCCCTAAACTGCTAGTTGAAAAGGATTAATTTGAATGAGAGAAGATTTTATTCAATTGATTTATTTGAAACGTCACCCTTTATAAATAGAGAGTTTTAATCCTAAAGTATTGGTTACAAAGAGATCTCTAGAATTTTTGAAGAATTTCTAATAGTACACTTAATATTCTATTAGCAACACTCCTCCTTTAAGCTTGTGAATGTATCTATCATTCAAAACTTGCATGTGAGATCATGAAATTGTTCAGAAAGACCTTTTGTAAACAAATCTGCTAACTAAAGTCCAAATGGGACATAAGAAATAGTGGCAAGGCCAGTTTTAATACGATGCATTATCACAATAAAGAATCATAGACCCTTCACATGCCACTATAAAATCATTTAGATAATTCTCAACCATAACAATTCACACATCCCATGTGCCATAGCTCGGAATTCAGCCTCTCCACTAGACCTTTCAATAACATTTTGGTATAAGAGAGGTTTGATCCCGCTTTGCTGGTCTCAGTCTTGTCTCGCGAAGTCTCCCCATTGTCTCTGTCACCATTTTCTTCGATAACAACCGGATCAAGGCTTCTCTCCAAGCGACGAGCAACCTCGCCGACCAGAGGCTGAATTAGGTCCATATGTTGCCATGTGAACACTCTTTGTTTGTCGTTGCTAGACACGTGACATCCATGTGCTGCTTTCCTCTCATCAAAGCACGCCGTGCCTCCACCATAACACTTGTTGAACCTCCTTGTCTTCGTTTTATGTGTCATCCAATCAAGTTGAACAATGGAAGAAAACTTATTTGCAACTTTGTGCATTACAATGACAATTGTGAAACCCAAACTAATAAGAGAAGAACCTGTAGAATATTCTGTCATGGTTTCTACATGTGGAAGAGAAGGACATGGTGGTAGTGAATGCCTTCAATACACGACTTTCCTGACAAAACAACCACTTTCGAAGAGAAATGATCCTCTGGGATGGATAGATCCAACAGATAAGTTTCTTGAAGTGCAGAATGTCAATCAAGAGGAAAAGCTACAATTGGCTCTTATCAGTATGGAAGGAAACACTAACCGTTGGTTTAAGTTTTGGCATCAAACAACAAGAATCCATCATGAGAGGAATTTACAACAGCATTGAGGAGAAGATTTGGAGGCAAAGAACGAGTACTGTCCATGAAAAATTAGCAGCTATAAGGCAACATGAAATGGTTGAAAACTACATACAAGAATTCAAATTATTAGTGTTGCAAGTTCCTCAAACTTCAAAAGATAAGATGTTGTGGGGCTGCAACTAAATGTTTGGAATCAGATTCAGCCACGTGATCCTATAGTATCTAATAAGAGTTATGGAGATCACTCATGATATAGAAGAAGCTATGCAAGAGTCACACCATATTGGAGGACCTTCTTTCAGAAATAATGCATCTAATTTTTGGTATCAAGGAGGAAGTGGGGTGGTATCACAAACTGAAACAGTCAAGAACAGCAGGAGTACGCAAGTTTCTAATGGCATGGAAAGCATTGCAAGGATGAGGGCACCAAACAACACCCATGGATCAAGAATCCAAGAATCAAGAACGGGAAGTAATGTAATACGGGTTTTACAAACAGAGGAATTCAAAATATGAAATATCTTGAATATGTTAGGAGAAGGGAAGAGGGAGGTATTTTCATTGCGGAGGGCTTACACTCCTGGCCACAAATGTCTAGAAATATTTTTAAGAGCGGTCATATTAGTTAAAGATGAAGAAACGGGGAAATGA